TCTCCTCTCCGCCTGCAGCTCACCTGAAGACCTTCAGGACTTCTGTCATGTGACTTCTGATCACACCTGAGTCCGTCGTGACTTCTGAGCTCAACAAACTTGTTTCTTGTTTTTTCCAGAATCTACTTAAAACAAGCGGTTTCTTTCTGGTGAACTTTAGAAGACAAGCTTGTGAAGCGTGAGATTCTTTCTGCTTCCACAGTTAGTTTCTGACAAACACTCGTTTTGTTGATTGTTCAGAGTTAAATACGTTCTAGAGAATCAAAAGAACTTCTCTGGTGAAGTCACTCCAGCTACGTTTTACCCAAAACTAAACTACAACTAAATAAAAATCTGTATCTCCAAACTGTGATGAAAGCCTGAACCAGACTCCAGAACCGGCACACACCAGACAAAGTGCAGGTTTTGGACTGGGTGCTTCTGTTCCAGAGTTTCCGTCCTGTTGAGTCTCTGTGATGCATCGAGGCCGCTAATAGCAGGGTGTTAGCTAACCTCTGAGAGCGTGTTCACCCTGTAATCACAGCTCCTCCCTGCTCCACTCGCTCCGAGACCAGAAGCTCCTCCGCTCACGTCTCCCATCAGGAAGTCTACATCCAGGACCGAAGGAGTCCGATCGGACGCGACAGAACCGAGACGGGACGGAGTCTTGATGACGCTGGTGTCGTTGTTTTGTTGGAAAAAATGCATCACTGACACTCAACTGTTGAGTTCTGGCAGATTATCGAGGATAAAACACGTTTAAACCTGAACTATAAAAGATCTAAAGAACATCGGCTCACAGCAACAGAACTCCCTCAACAGAACTTTAAGTCAACCGTCTGTCCTGCAGCCAAACTTAGAGGCAACACAAGAATCAGAACCACAACAGAACACAGACTTTCATCACCGGAGCCTCACATGCTGCAGATGTTTCCTTCATCTGCTCCTGGTTTGTCAGTCGGCAGCGTTTTGAGCTCTCCGGGCCTCCGTAGCGGCTGCAGACCAACACAGGAAACTCTGCAAACGTGTTCTGTTAGTTTAATGGTATCAGCTGGACCTGCTTGAGTTCCTTGAAGACGTTCCACCTTCATCCAAGAGGCTCCATCAGCTCTGACTGACTGGTTGGGAGTTCCACATACTGATATCCTGAAGGAGACGTTAACACCTGAGTTTAGGTTTTAATTGGGGGTCTGTTGCTCCTCCCCCTCGTTATGTGGGTCGTTAGTGCTCCTCCTGACCCGGTGGGGTTCGTTAGGGTCTCTGTGGCTCGGTGTGGATGTGGCTTCATCTCAAAGGACAAGAGTCTTCGTCATCTTTAAGCATACCAGTATGTGGAACTCCCAACAGGTCAGTCAGAGCTGGTGGATCAGAGGTGGAACGTCTTCAAGGAACTCAAGCAGGTCCAGCTGCTCCCATTAAACTACCAGAAGAACCAGGACCTGGAGGACTGAGGATCTTCAGACATCTGTATGATTCTGTTTGAAACAGATGAAGGAAAATGATCTTCTTAAATTATGTATCACAGAAAATATCGATAGATGTAACGTTCTGGTGTAGAAAAGAAAGCATCAGGATCTACAGTCGGCCAGGTTTTAGCAGGAGAAACGTCTTCAGATGATTTATTTACGAGTCGACCCTCTCTGGTTTGTGAAGTCTTGACCTCTTCCTGTTTGAGGGTTTTCGTGCATCATTCCAGTGAGGTTCAGACCTCTGCTGAGGACGTAGACCTCCATTCCTTCCCTCTGAGCCGGCCGTCGGTGGACTTCCTGCTGAGGATGATGATCTCGTTAGAACACCAGCTTCACACAGTTTATCCGGCTGCTCTTTGATATGAAGCAGAATGCAGCGTTGAATCAACAGCCAGCGACCTCAAACCAAAGCGTTTCCGCCGCTACGCTAACACATGCAAACAGCTCCGTCTGTGATTGGTCCGTCCACGTGGTTCCAGAAGGCCTCTGTGTTCTCTGGCAAACTGTGGTTCTGCTCTAATGTTCCTTTTGGACAGGGAAGGTTTTTTCCTGGCAGCTCAGATCAGAGCGTTCTGATTGGTGGTGTCAGAGTGCTGCTGTGCTCCAGCTGCAGCTACCTGCAGGTCCGCTGGTCACACTTTGGGCTTTTCTGCAGCTCGTATTCTGGCCTGACTTTGCCGACCAGAACCCAAACCCAGTTTGTTCATATATGTCGAGGAAATCAGCATTTTGTCACACGACTGCATGAGACTTTAATTTGCTTCGACATTCACGCGCTGATGGAACCGTGTTGTGTTTTCCTCTAGTTTATTTTATATCATCATGTTGTATAGTTTCATAGTGTCTCATCACATCGTACCATATACAGCCTATCGCTTCTTATTGTATTGTTTCATATATTGTATCATGTTATATATCATATTGTGTTGTTAGTTATATCATATCTTCTGGTTTGTTGTCGTATCGTGTGCTGGACCGTGTTGTGTATCGTATCACATCGTGTCATACAATGTTCTGTTGTGTAGAGAACATCGTTCAGCATCACATTTTATTTCTTACAGAAATATTTTAAAACGCGTCGAACTCATTGTGTTCTGATATCTTCTGGTCCGACATCTTCCATGAAATGTTCACGTTTATGGTGTAAACAGAGACTTAAAGAGTCTTCATCACCAGCCTGCTGCTGATCTGCTGTAGCTTCAGCAGACGTTGGTTCTGATCCGTCAGTGAATGGTTCTGATCAATAACGCTGCTTCAACACTTCAACTCCTCAGGTGGTTCTGATCTGTCTAAAGTCCAGTAACTCTTTGTTCTCCACAGCCGAAGCAGATCGGAGACGATTTCTGTGGTTTGGTTCTGAACCAGCCGCTCGGAGGCCTCCGGGTCATCGAGGGGAACCCGCTGTACGAGGACCGGACCGAGGGGATGGGCGCCGTGGCGGCCTACACCTACGGAGAGCACACGGTGGTGTTCGTAGGAACCCGCAGTGGACAGCTGAAGAAGGTAGGACAGAGGGTCTGGGTTTGGACCGGTGCTGCTGCTCTGGTGGGTCAGAACCAAAGACGGGTCTGAGAGGAACGTCTGCTTTAATGTTGGAAAACCGCTTTTGGGTTTTTAGAGTTTCTGTTTCAGGAGGAAGACGGAGAAGGTTTCCTCACTGCAGGTTCTCTGAGTTCTGAAGGACGTTGGTGTTGGAGCTGCTGGACTGTTGGTGGTGAAGCTGAAGGTCGACTCGTGTGGTCGAGTCGTTTGGTTTCATTTCACCTGAACGTTGGTGTCTCAGGTGTAGAGTCCAGGTTTAAACCACAGGAAGCTGCAGAATGTTTCAGATGTTTTCATCGTTTCTGCTCAAAGCTGCTGCAGATCTCTGACTGAAGCCTGTTTAGATCTTCATGCTGCAGAATCAGAGGTTAATATGATGTCGCTTCAGATCTGATGTCGTTGGATTAATCGACTGGGTTCTGTTTGTTCATAAGAATCTGATGTTCTGTTAACGAGCTGATCACACGACATGTAGAGACGTGTGCAGGTCTCACATGTTCTGTTATTCTTATTTATTATGATTCTTTATGCTTCAGTGACAGTTTGTGTTTTATAGAATCTCTTTAATGCCAGACGGGAACTGGATCAGAACTTAGATGCTGTACCGTTTTAATCCAGAACTCGGCAGCTCTCACAGTGGTCATCAGTGAACCGTCTCGTGTTACTGAGTGGATTCTGTTCATGTTTGATCTCATTGCTTCATGTTCATCGTTCTCTG